GGTTTTAGGCCGTATATCTGGACGTATCTGAGACGTATCTGGATGTATCTGGGCGGTTTTTAGCTCGTATCTGGATGAATGTATCTGGACGTATCTGGGCTGCTTTTGGGTCGTATCTGAGGTATCTGGAGGTATCCCATGGAGGTATCTGGGCGTATCTGGTCTAATTTTTGTATATGTTTTTTTTTGGCGGGGGGGCTTGACAACGCGGAAAGGTAAAACTCTAAGAACGTGAGAAATTGAAGTTCCGTGACTCTTACAAATTCCTTGTAACTTTAGGTGATGTCGGGGTGAGCATACTTGATGCCGACTGGCGAATCCTGAGACGGCAATTTTGAAACTGCTCATCTCTCATATCTCCAAAGTCCGAATGGTTTGCCATAGCCCTCAAGTAGCGGCCCACTGCTCTCAAGAAGCCAAGTAGGTCTGCCATTGCAGACGAAACCAAAACAAGTCTGCGCCGTCTCTTTTCCAAAAAGGCTACGGCCACCAAGAAACCCACATGTCACCAAAGAAGTGGTTCAAAAACACAAGGCACTGTGGAAGTTGCAGCTCCAAAAACAAGCAACGGGTTTGTTTGCAAATCAAACATTTGTGGGTTCTGATATTTGCGGAGCGTCCCGAAGGCCGCTATCAGGTACATCAAAAATGAAAGAATAGTAGATATTTGCTAGAACAAAATAGCAATTTAATAAAAAGTAAATTTGAAATAAAAAGAAAATAAATTCAAAAGTAAATCAAAATAGTTTGAAATTAACTCAAAACTAGCTAAAAATACGTAGAAATTAGCAAAAAAAATAGCTAATAATAAGTAGAAATTAGCTAAAATGAGCTAAAAATTAGCTAAAAATAAGTAGAAATTAAGTTCCTTAAGTTCTGCCAACATAAGTGGCATAAGTTCATAAGTTGCTTCTAAGTTCCACGACTCCTTGCCCAGAACTTGTGCCACTTATAAGTTACACCATGAACTTAAAGAACTTGAAGTTCATGTTGAGGAACTTGAAGTTGATGCTATGGAATTTATAACTTACTTAATTTTCCTATAAGTTCCTCAAGCTCACACCAGTCACGAAGTAGACGATTTTTTGGGGAGCAAGTGAGTTCCCGAAAGCTCCTGCGAAGGGTTTTTCCTAAAGAACTGCTGCCGATTTCAACTTGTTACTTCGTGTAAAGGCGCCTCTGTGCAAAGACTTCTCTGTGTAAACGCTTTTGTGTGTAAAAGTAAGATTCTCTGTGTAAAGACTTCTTTGTGTAAAAGCTTCTCTGTGTGAAAGCACGTCTGTGTAAAGATTTCTCTGTGTGTAAAAGCTTCCGTGTGTAAAAACTCTCTGTGTAAAGGCTTCTCTGTGTAAAAGTTTCTGTGTGTAAACGCGTCTGTGTGTTAAAGCTCTCTGTGTAAAGACTTCTTTGTGTAACAGCTTTTGTGTGTAGAAGCTCCTAGACGTTTGTGTGAAAAAGCTCCTCAGAGGAAAGACTTCCCTGTGTAAAACCTTCTGTGTGTAAAAAGCTCCTCTGTGTAAAGGCTTCTCTGTGTAAAAGCCCCTGCGTGTGTAAAAGCTTGCTGTGTGTAAACGCTTTGGTGTGTAAACGCTCCTCTGTGTAAAGGCTTCTCTGTGTAAAAGCTTCTGTGTGCAAACGCGTCTGTGTAGAAAGCCCTCTGTGTAAAGACTTCTTCGTGTAAAAACTTCTGTGAGTAAAAGCTCCTAGACGTTTGTGTTCAAAAGCACCTTAGAGTAAAGACTTCTCTGTGTAAAACCTTCTGTATGTAAAAAGCTCCTTTGTGTAAAGACTTCTCTGTGTAAAAGCCCCTGTGTGTGTGGGTAAAAGCTTCTGTGCGTCTCCTCCCTCCAGCTTTCTTTCGGGTCACGCTGTCGTCCAGTTTCAATCTGCAACGTTGTTTCTCGTGGAAGAGTGCAAAATAATGCAAAGAACATGTGAAAGCATCGCGCGTTTAAAAATTGAACATAAACAGCGCACAAAGTGTTGTAATTTACAGCATATTGCGCTGTCAGCTGGCAAGAACCCGCGTAAATACCACAGTTTTAGTCCCCCAAAGTGGCTAAAACACTGTTGTTTACAGGGTTTCGTTCACGTCACGATCTTCGATTTTTTGAGAAACGCGTAAATACCAGCATTTTTAGCGTTCATCAACGCAAAAGATCGGTTCAAAAAGGGAAGAAAATGCTGTAATTTACAGGGGTTTGGCGCCGCCACGGGCAAAAAACTGCGTAAATACCAGCGTTTCGGCGTCCAAAAGTGACCAAAACACCGCTATTTACAGTGTTTCGTGCCTTCCACGTTTTCTTGAAATTGCAAAAACCATGTGAATACCAGCATTTTTTGCGATCAACCCGCCCAAAATGCTGTAATTTACAGTGTTTTTTTGCTGTGCTTTCAAAAACACTGGTATTTGCAGTGTTTTGTGCATCTCGGGTCCAAAAAGTATTGGTATTTACAACATTTTCTGCGTTTTTGCATGGCTCCCGCAAAAGACGGTAAAACGCAAAAATGCTGTAATTTACAACATTTTGTGCCTTTCGAAAAGCGAAAAATCGTCCGAAAAAGGCGTCAAAACGGCACTTTTTTCCGATTTTAGGTACCCTCAAAATCGGGGGGGGGGAATGCTCTTGGAGACGCTTATGAGCGACCCGGATTCCGTGCAAAAACCTCTCCCCCACCCTCCTGAAGGATTTTTGGTGTTTTTCGGGGCCCGGCGTCGGAGGGTCGGCGGTTTGGGGCGCGCCTCACCTTAGAGCTCTAGTCGCTCTGGGACGCTCGTAGGGCAAGCCACTCGTGGGGAGCCGGCGGAGCCGAATTTTAGGGATTCATATAAGGTCCCGTTCGTAGCCCCGAGCTGCTTACTGCCCTAGCCAAATTATAGGGAGGGTTCCTGCTTACTACGTTGTCCCAGCTTTTCCTCGGGAAAAGGCTCGGTACAAGGCAATTTTTGCTTCCCCCGCATGATCTTGACACTAAGTCTACTGTACCTGTCCTGCGGGTTGTGTCCAAAAATAAGGTGCCCCACCTGAAAATTTGCTGCTGAATTTGCTGTTTGGAATACATCAGCTCAGCCAGGCAGGGACAGAAAAAATCGATGCCAGTTCTTTCGGAAGCTGGGCACCAAGTTGAAAGGGACCTCTTGCCTAGAAAATGACATGTAAGAGGATGTAAGCCATAAATATATATATATAATATAGTGTTGGAAGAAACAAAAAAACATGCAGTTTCATTTTCATAGTTTATGCCTCGCAACCAAGTGCAGTAAGCAGATCCAGTATCTGCTTACTGCGTTCTGCCTGCTGCACCCTCCTCAAAATTTTAAAACAATGCTAAAAAAAATTGAAAAACAATGAAAAAACAATGAAAAGTGATGAAAAATATAGAAAAAACAATGAACAGCAATGAAAAATAATGAAACACAGAGAAAAAAACAAAGAAAAGCAATGAACAAACGATGACAAATAGAGAAAAATGATGAAACATAGAGACAAAAGAATGAACAAATAATGAAAAGGTTTGGCTCGAGGACTTCGACCCGTACAGGGCTGATCCCGCCAACGCGCGCGCGCGCACGTTGGCAGAAAGGCTGGCCCGAGGACTTGGACCCATCCACCCGGGGTACTACAACGGGGCACTACAACGGGGAAACACAACGGGGAAACAAAAAGGGAACAAATGAGAAACATGAAACATGGAAAAATTTTAGAAAAATATATCTATAAATTTCAGATTTTTTTATTGTTTTTTTTTCATTTTTTCATCCATTGCTTTAAAGCACTTAAATAAGTTTAAAATTTATAGATATGATTTTTCTATGTTTTTTTCATTTTTCGTTTTTCCATTTTGTTTCCCATTGTATTCCCCGTTGTAGTGCCCCGTTGTAGTACCCTGGGTGGATGGGTCGAAGTCCTCGAGCCGGACCTGCCGGACCTGAACCTTATATTCTATATTGTTTCCTCTATGTTTCATCATTTTTTCCATATGTTTCATCTTTTTCCCCTCTATTTTTCATTATTTATTATCTATGTTTCATATTTTTTCTCTATGTTTCATCATTTTTTCTCTATTTTTCATCATTCTTCTTTATTTTTCATCATTTTTCTCTATTTGTCATCGTTTGTTCATTGCTTTTCTTTGTTTTTTCTCTATGTTTCATTATTTTTCATTGCTGTTCATTGTTTTTCCTATATTTTTCATCACTTTTCATTGTTTTTTCATTGTTTTTCAATTTTTTTTAGCATTGTTTTAAAATTTTGAGGAGGGTGCAGCAGGCAGAACGCAGTAAGCAGATACTGGATCTGCTTACTGCACTTGGTTGCGAGGCATAAACTATGAAAATGAAACTGCATGTTTTTTTGTTTCTTCCAACACTATATTATATATATATATTTATGGCTTACATCCTCTTACATGTCATTTTCTAGGCAAGAGGTCCCTTTCAACTTGGTGCCCAGCTTCCGAAAGAACTGGCATCGATTTTTTCTGTCCCTGCCTGGCTGAGCTGATGTATTCCAAACATCTGTCAGCATAACAGGCCCCAGAAAACATCGAAGAAGTTGGAAATGACACCTCGCTTCACAAAAGAGAGTCATCTGGCTCCAACGCAGAGAAGGCTATTTCCGCCCATCGCTGGGCACTAACTAGGTTCGGCGCTACTTCCGACATGTTTGCAATTAATTTTTTTGAGTTTGAGCTTGGAAGAAGCGAGCACAAACACTTCAGGACAACGGAGCTGTAGTAAGCAGATTCTGAAATTGTCTTTGGTGTATATGTTCATATATCTGCTTACTACAGGTGCTTGTACTTAGGCCTTACTTAGGTCATTTCTTATTTGCCTGATTTTGGCCTCTGGCAGATGCAGTAAGCAGATTAGTCTCTGCTTACAGGGCGTCCCCGACTATATATATATATGTATATGATTGTATATGTCTATCAAATACAGCCATGCATGTGCTAATCATATGCTGCTCTGAAAACTCGCATCCAATCCGCATTGCGCATCAATTTCTGATCAGTTTCTTGCCGAACCTGAGGACCGGCTCCAAAGATTGCTGGGCCTGCCTCTTGACCTGGCTGTGAAAACTCATGAGCGGAAGACTAAATGACTAAGTCTTGATATTTCTGTACTAGCCTCATCTAGCCTCTGTAGTCACATAATATCACACCCCAGTCTGGGTTTGAATTTGTCAAGGCTGACAAGACTCCACAAAAATCATGCAGGGCATCGGATCTGCTCTGCTGGCTATGCTTGTCATTGCATTGTCAGTGGAGGAGCACCTTCCCCAGGACGTCTGTGATTATCACGGAAAGGATGATGCCAAAGAAGAGGAGCACGTAGATGTAGCAGGCAAGCTGGTTCATGACCTCAAGATTCCAATGGCTTTGCGAGTCCACCAAAATCTCCCACCTTTCTCCCAAACAACTCTGCAGTACGCTACAGCTGCAGTCACAAACAGCACAAACACGGCTCTGAGATTAGCACAGGCTGAATAACTTCCATTTTCCACAAAATGCCGAAGATCACGAGGAAAAACAACAGTACCATCTGGAGAAGCAAATACAAAAGCAAGGCAACCTCATGCGTAATCTTGCAATATGCTACAGGCAGTCAACACCAGCAGGACTGTGAATCCAGCTTTCCCTTGAAGTCAAGCCTTGAAGTATCCTTCTATTGGCACATATTGGCTCATATTGGCACTATATGGTGGATCTATATGGCGCTATCATTCTGCATTTTGCGGCAAACTCCTTGGAGGAAGCAACCAGGCAAAGCAACATAAGCAACAGCATAACACATGCAAGCCGCACAAAAAGTGACCATCTTGTTCCTGGTTCCAAATTGTACCAAAACCTCCTTGTCAGGTCGACATCATAACAATCATAACAAGAAACAAGATATGGCATGATATGGCGGTCAATTGTCCAAATGTAAGTTCGATTTGCGTTCATACGTTGGAATCAGGAAGCGTTGCCACACACCAAGTAGCACCGCGTGACCAACCTATCTGGAGTGTTCCGAGGTGCACACGTAGAGGATCCGACCATATAGGCCTCTGACAAGAGACGCGCAAAGCAATTCTTGCAATATGCCTTTGCACCAGGCTGCGCACACAAAATCACAGAAATAGTAAGATCGGTTCGTAGAATTTGTAGGGTTCTTGAAATTTGGGTTGATGGGTCAATCCAGCTCCACCACGGGCTTTGTCTAGTTGATCGACAATCGCTGCCGAATCCTTTATCAGTCTTTATCAGTGAACTTGTGTTCCATTTGCGCGGATGTCTTCCAATACTCTGGTCAAACTTGAGGAGCAAACTGTTCCACATCAGCATGGGTGGGTTTCATCGAAATCATCTTCAATCCATCCCAATACGTGGCGCTGCCTTATATTGTACTGTACGGGTACCCACACACATACTCGCAAACGCACAAAGCATCAAAAACATTACAAAAACAATATTGCTTGTGACCCACCACACATGAATGCGCACGAGCTGTCGTTGGTCACACATTCCTCTCTACATATCCTGTGTTTGCTCATGTTGCAGATCAAACATGACGAAGCACCATGGTGCCAACATGTGCAAACTATATTCCATCATATTCCATCTATACCTTCGAGAAATTACACGCGCAACACCTTGTAGGGATAGATATCACGGAACAGAACATGGCACTCTACAGCCGTGCACCCTTTCTGGTTGTTTCAACGCACAAAAAATGGGTCGGCTGGGATCATCATCTAAAGTACTATATAGTATGATTCAGTATGATGGAAAAATAATGAAAAATGTAATAAGATGATTTGAACAGATTTGAACCATTAATTACCTGGCCTACAATGTGTTGTGGAATGTCTTTGCATGCAATTGCTTTGAATTCAATTTCAACACCCTATTTCCTTGTATTGCACTCCAGTACCTGACAGCAAAGCGCATCACATGAAATTCCAGTGAACTATACTATGCCAAATCTGGCAAATTAAGCTCTACTGGTACCAAATGAAGTTGCATTGCAACACATGCCATCACATTGCGCTGCACTGACGCGCATTGAATTCTATACTTGAATACACATGCAGTCCAAATGCACACTCTCATACTGTATTGCCGGGATTGCACACAATGTACTTCACGTCGTCAACAACGTGTTGACTTACAGCCTCATACATACTCAATTCCCTTGAGTCACTGAAAGCTGTTCAGAGCCATCTGATCAGATTGCTTGCATTGCAAAAAAAACTGTATTCCAACATTACATGACATGATGTTTCGCTCCGCTACTTTGCACCCGCATGGCTTGTCGCAGTAAACAAAATTTTGGTTTGGACAGACATTGCCGAATTCCAAGAAGTTCCTCTGATCGCTTGTAAAATACATGAAAATAACAGCCTTGACAAAACATGGACAAACAATGCGCATTTGCGGGACCACACATGTTTTGGCAATATAGCTGAAATCTGAAGGGGGTCGAATCATGTTTCGTCCAGCCTCTTCTTCCTTTATCTCCCGCCAGGACAAGTATTTGTCTCAGTCGCGGGAGGTTCCACCAAGCAAATCACATATGCTGAGGGTATGCCAAGCTATGCCAATCGTGTCAATATGCTTAAGGTATCTTACGGTGTCGCCCCGGCTGCCTAGTTTCGTTTTGTCTACTCGAGGGAGGAATTCCTGCACAAACTTGTAAAGTAGCTCATAGAGTCATAGATGGTGGATGCCTTCAGGCACTGTCCAGGAACAATACAGTACCACCATGTACCACCCATCATTTCGTCTCGGGGTGCCTCATTAGTCCTCATTTCAATCTCAATCAGGTTCATGTTTTGTTTCATCGACGCCAACATTCTTTGCTGAGGTTCAGGCAAGGTGGATATATTTTTGCCTCGAGTTTTCAGGCATAGGGGTCAGGAATCGAAATTTGTCAAAAAAAAAAGTACTTCCATGCGTTGGCATTTGCATTTAAGATCATTCTTTAAAGCATCCTGTTTACGGTGCTTTTGGATGTTGTCTATTCAACACAACCTCGAGACTCCCTTTAACTTCAGCTTGCCTGAGTCTACCCGATCAAACATTGCATTCAGTTTTTCTTCTATCCAAGATATGGTTTGCTCCGTGCCGTGTAAATTAATCATATCAAATCTAGGTATGCCATGATATGCCATGCTCTTTCGGAACTCAATCTGAAAACCCAATGCACAAGGTCCTTCTGTTAGGTCGCTATTCCTTCAATGTGTGCTTTCACGGCTACAAACATGCTAGCAACACTTTCCCAGCCGCAACGGCACATAGGCCTGGCAGCACAAGGATTCCGTTCCCTGCAGGTTTCAGTAGCCCTGTTATGCACCAGTTGAGTGTTGATCGAATCTAGCACGTGAGCTTTTCCCGAATATATCATGATACCTCCACCTTTCCCGAAGCTCCTTTTGAATTTCTTGAGTCTTTCCAAATGATTGCCTTGCCTAGCAATCCAGCAAGAATCCAAGAGATCAACCTCAGTTCCAGCCATTTGCTGCTCGATTGGCTGATACAAAGCAGACAGATATGTCAAAGAATGTCAAAGATGTTTTAAGCAGTGCAGCCAATGCAGCCAGTGCCCAGAACGGAACATTTTGGCTCTTTTGTCACCCTGAGGTCACCCTGAGGTCACCACAGAGCTTTCAGCAATGCTTTTACCTCTGGCCTAAGGTTCAGAGCAGAGCGATGTCAGCAGCACATTGCAGAGATAGCTCTTGCAGCTCTTGCGTCGCATCTGGTCGCATCGCATGATTATCATCATTCCGAATTAAGCAAGAAAAGCGTACAAAATATGCAAAGGCTGCAAGTGCAAATATCAATCAAAGACATAAACCAAAAAAAGTCATGTCTGGAGACTTGCCTGAAAGCTTGGGCTGCAACCGTGCGTCAAGAAAAGAATGCACACGCTGAACAATCCCACCCTTGGTTTGGAAATTATTGGAAGTTCACTGGAAACCAGACTGAGACTAGGACATTTGAACCCGCAGATGGAGACCAGCAGTGCAATTGCCAGCATGGTAGTCATGACAAAACAATGTTAACAGCAGAGCATTAATTAGATAAGATTGCACAGCATTGCACAGGTTACACAAAGCTGACACAAAGCTGACACAAGGTGGCGACACAAGGTGGCCTCAAGAGTCTAGATATGTCTGATATGTCTGATTGCTTTCCAGTCACATGTCCAGCGTTCGTCTGGTTCTTGACGGGAGCACTTCCATTGGTGATGGTCTGGACATAGATGGGCCTTGGCCTGTTCTCGGGCTCGGGGAGCACTTCCGCTTGATGCTTCGATTTGAGTACAAGCCTTAGTTCACCGAACACCACAAGACTTGACAAAAGACTTGACAGGGCTTTTCATGATCTGTCCAACATGTTACCTAGAGCGCCTGGTGAGCTTACCCTGCTTAAGAAGCTTTGTCTATCCTTCGGTCTGATAAGAGATTGATCTGTGAGAAGAAACCAAATAAGAAGGTAAGACATGGTAAGACATGGTAAGACGACACGACATGACACGGGCGACGCCTTGGCTTTCATGGAGAATTGGGATAGATCGGGCACATCTCCCGAGGAACAAACATTGCTGTATCGTCTTGTATCGCGCTGTATCTGGGCTTGCAAAACATGCGCACCAACACTGCACCGACACTGAATCAAAACTGGACCATACGCTATTTGACCATGTGCATCATCGAGGTTTGAGTCTCTCTGGCCACTGACAAAGGTCTCGAGCTACTTAGTTTCAATGATAAAAGACATATGTATATATATACTATATATATATACATAGAAGTCTAAAGAAATCACGTACAAATATACAGCATCGTTTGTCGGTCAATATATATATATAGATCAAGACTATGCAAAAGCTGCGAACACCACTTTTATGAAACCTGCGTAGTAAATCATAATCAAACCATTTTTTGGACTCCAAGTTGGCAATCTAACATTGCGGCCCTGGGCCACTTGGTGACAGACTACAGTAACGTTGGTCCTAGGTGCACCTCCGCCCGTGCCATTGCATTGGGGAATCGAACCATCAGCAAGCGTTTGGATGTGTTTGGAAACAGACTCCGCAGAGCCCAACCAGCCCAACCAGCCCAACCAGCCCAACCAAACCAACCAGGGTCTCAAAGATCTCAAAACTAAGAGATGCCAAGAGATGCCAAGAGTGGAAGTCGAACCGATCGAACCGATCGGACCGAGTCTAACCGAGTCTAATCTGGAACCTTTGGAAAACCTCTGCCGTGTGCGTCGAAGCTTGACCAGCTTGACCTCAAACCTTGCTACTCTCAGGATCTTTCAGAATCTTTCAAGATCTTTCAGGAACATAACTTTGCAACCGCCTGAATCTTGGGGAATGTGTCCTACCTGCACAGGTGCACAGTATCTATGTCCTCAAAACCCGAAAGCTCCGTACATGGCTGTTGAGAGAAAACAACGATGATATATTTTTGCCAAGATCATAGGACACATCGCATTATTGTGCCAGTTCCGGGTTTGCAATCACCAGTCATGGGATCGTAAATGAATGACCTTGCATCATATCTTCCCAGCCCGCATCAGCTTGATAGTCAAAACACTTCAAATAAATTCAAATGCTGCTTTGACTAGAGACTTTGCATGCAACTCATGTCTATCTATCGTTTTGCCTGGCACCATGTCAACGTGTGTGTGTGTCTGTGTGCCACATGCCCAAAGTTCAATGATAGATTTTGCATGATTTTGCACAGTGGATCACCGTGGTCACAAAATGTCGCAAATTCAAACAATATAACTTACTGACTTAGTCACCCCCTTCAAAGTGCCAAAGATCCTCAATGCAACAAAGTAACCTGTCGAGCAAAGTGGAGTTGACAGATGAGTCGGGCCACCTCAAATACTGTATGTACTTGCAATTGTGACAAACCAGGGTGTCGCACACTGTGAGCACGGCAAGCAATTGCCGAATTTGGCTCTTTGCACCAAGCCACTTGCTTGACTCGCCCAGAGCATGGTGTGCCTGCATCGAACAAGATTCCTCAGCACTCGCGCTGTGAAAAAACACAGGACACGTAGGAATGGCTTCCTGATAAGCAAGCAAATAGTTGAACCCACAAACATCTCTCAGCATTGCCACAGCAGCATCCGGCACAAACCCACTTGTGCACCTCTAGTCAACCACTTGGTGCTGTAAAGTATCATCATGAACATTCAAGGGTTCGACACTTTGCACCGCGCAAAGACATCCTGTGATGGGACAAAACAGAGCAATGCTCAATTGGCAGGCAGGGAGGACTTTTGCACCTAAGACTTTTTGGTATGTGTGTGTGCCTTATTTTCGCTACTCACTGGGAAGTCGTGCTAGTCGAGGCTGGCGCACCAACCTCCCCTGAAAACCTAGAGAACCTCCGACCTTGGCCGTTCCATATCCCCTTGAGTTCTCTGTGCCCTCAAAATATCCATTTGAAAAAGGATTTGAAACAATATGTTCCAAAACCATTGAAAAGGAGAGGGCAGGTACGAAATTAATGAAGCCACAAGGTGGTCGAGCTAGACATAGGGGCGTGCATGTTGAAGAGCAGGTTGATATGTGTTGAAATGCTGCAGAATGGGGTAGTGGCTCTCTGTTTATGGGGCGGAGCTAGTCTAGCAACATCTAGCAACCATATCTCTTGCTCATGTAAGTAATGTATTTTGGTGCCATGTCATGTATCAACAGCTGTGGCATGGTTCATGTATTTAGTGGATTTTAATGTTCTATTAATTAACTCACCCCCAAGCCCCAAGCCTGCTGTCAGAAACAAGAGCTGCAGCTGCATTCTAGCATGGCTCTGCCTCTCGAAAAGCTGGTTGCATCATGTTGCATCTGGTTTGCAGTAAACACCGTGGTTGAACACGTGCCCTGAAGCACTCAAGAGTAGGTTCGAAGGCTCAAAAATCCCATATACACACAAATACACACCAACACGAATAAACACAAGCATGTTCATTCTCGGAAAGAACAAAAACTTGGGACATCTGTGTAATAATCTCCACTTCGCCACGAATTTCAACGAAATGCATCGAAATGCCATGACCCACATTTGTCTTTGTTTCATGATTCAGATCGCTTTCTGGCTTGAAAATGAGAAAATGGATGAAAATGGAATGTTTTCTTATTTGCCCATGGGTCTGCAAGTCAAAGATTCCCTGGTCCAAGCATATGGTGTCGGACAGGTCAGTCTGCCACTTGTTCTGCCGCCTTCACGAAGTTCGGTCGAGTGGCCAAGTCACCATTTGAGCCAACAGCTATAACAGGTCGCTTTGGTCGCTTTTATGTTTTGGTTTGTGCGACATGACTGGAGCTTCAACCCAAACGAACTGCGTCAAACCTGCCTCCCGACGTCCAACTCTAGTCTCAAGCAGGGACTTGTCCAAGAATCATTACGAGATATAGTGACAGTATGTGACAGTATAGTGATGGTGTCGCTGGCCAAGTTTCACTTTCCATCATGCCAAGTTCTGTGATGAGAATAGAACGCTGACTTTTGCGCCGCCCACGCTGTGAGCGCCACTGAGTTCCCATCCACTTTCACAACAGGATTCCACACGATCGCTTTTACTGGGCATCAACCAACTTTCTGAGCTGAGTTGTATTTTGAACCTGTGTATCGCGTGAGTGTGGGGTTTTGTGCCAGCGTGACGAGTTCAAATCAACCTTATGTGCATCCTGTTGCGTGCGCTCACGATTCTAAACGAATATGTACAGTAAACACATTTGACATGTAAACACCAGGAATTGATGAAGCGTCTCCCCAGCACTGAGTCCTCCTTCATCAAATTCGAAGTGACTTTCCTAGGAGACCTACGGAGACCTGGGTTGACTCTGTGGCTTGTGACCGAAAATGGGTGGTTTCGATGTAACAGAAGGTGAAATTGACCAGTATCCATGGGTCAACTTAGTCAAAAAAATGATGTGAAGACAACGCCAGTACCTGGAAGACTTGCTTGTGGGTTGTCTCGAATTCCTGCAATTGAATGAAATTCTGCACAACAAAATGCATCTGGTCTTTCGTGTCGCTGTCATTCCATTGAAAACGTGAATTTAAGACTGCAAGGTGACAAAGCCGAAAAAAACACCACATCTCACACTAGTTCTTAGTCCGTTGATGTTCATTGAAGGTTCTTTTCTCCACACCAGATGTCGCTATGCAATACGGCTGCAACATTCGTCTTATTCCAAGATTGTTTTGGGCTTTGAAACTAGGTCTCATACCCTGGGCCTGGGACTTGCAAGAGCTTTTTTGCAAAGCATTGCGTTGTCTTCGCTTACCCAACTGGGTGGAAGAGAGCTCTCCAGTCATCCTTATAGTCCTCTGTTGATATTTGTCCCCCCCCGCAATATCCCCTGTAATACAAAAAAAAATAAGTGCCTCCCTCCCGGCCCCGGGCTGCCCCTGTGAGCCAGCTCTGCGCGGATATCCACAAGAGTGACCGATGCAATACCACCAGCCCATCACCCGGTCGGGGCAGCCCAGGGCCGGCCAAACGGCTGGCAGCTTAAGCCGCAAGCCGCTCGGCCCGACGCCGACCGGCACCCACCTTCACCCAAGCCCGGCGCCGCCCGTCCAACCTGCCCTGGCCCTGCGCTGATGACCTCGAGCAAAGAGTATCCCGCCCACCCGCAGGCTGCTGCTCCTCACGCGCCCATGCGTCATTGGCCAATGCGCCCTCTTGACCCCAGACCAAACACCAAGGAGAGCTCTTTGCAGAGCGTCTCCCCGATGTTCGGTTCGGCGGTGCAAGAGCGCGCAATGGTTTCTGTGACGCATGGGCGCATGAGGAGCAGCAGCCTGCGGGTGGGCGGAATATTTTCTGCTTAAGGTCAGCAGCGCAGGGCCGGGCAGGTTGAACGGGCGTCCCCGGACTTGCATGACGTTGATTTTATATTATGGACCAGGCAAATTTGGCCAGCTTCCTGCACCGTCTTGTCGCAAGCAGCTTTGCAGAGCCAACTCTCTTTATCTTTCATTACTTTCCAGTTTTCTGACGTGGACGCTGAAAAATGAGAAAATGCACGCACGTACTATGTTAATTGTTTTTCTTACTTTTGCCAGTTTTGCAAGCGTCCATGTTAGTTTGACACATGTCACAGGTCCACTAACATGGACACTCAAACAAGTTTTTTTTGAACAGTATTCAGCTAACATGGACATTCATAGTAAGATTTTTGGGCTTCTTACCGCGTCCATGTTAGTGGAGCTTCATCGATTTTGAACTTTTGGCGGATCCCCATGTCAAAAACCGTCTCCCTGCTGTCGCCCGTTGTGCTTGTCAGGGACGTCCATGATAGTAGACTTGTCCATGGGTCAGTCATGCAACTTCCCCATGCACATTTCCAGAGCAAGAGGCGGCCAGTTTTGCCTAATTTCCCTTTATAGAAATGATTGAAACAGCTTCAAAAATCACAACTTCGACCCGGCCCCAATCTCAGACCTCCAAAGCTTTCATTTTGGTGAGCTGTGACGGTGTCAACAACTATGATCCCTGGGCAGCCCTCCAAACTGTAGTGGGCCGACTAACATGGACATTGAGGAGCCCCAATTTGTGAGAATAGTCTTGCTTGCAACTAAAAAATCTCCTGTTAAAGGTCTCCTTTTCATTTGTCCTTATTTGTCCCCTTGTGATCCCCCCCCTGCACGCTGGGACGTGCAAAAGAATCTCCTTCTGGTGCATCTCCATGTCAAACCGTCTCCCTGCTGTCGCCCGTTGTGCTTGTCAGGGACGTCCATGATAGTAGACTTGTCCATGGGTCAGTCATGCAACTTCCCCATGCACATTTCCAAAGCAAGAGGCGGCCAGTTTTGCCTAATTTCCCTTTATAGAAATGATTGAAACAGCTTCAAAAATCACAACTTCGACCCGGCCCCAATCTCAGACCTCCAAAGCTTTCATTTTGGTGAGCTGTGACGGTGTCAACAACTATGATCCCTGGGCAGCCCTCCAAACTGTAGTGGGCCGACTAACATGGACATTGAGGAGCCCCAATTTGTGAGAATAGTCTTGCTTGCATCTAAAAAATCTCCTGTTAAAGGTCTCCTTTTCATTTGTCCTTATTTGTCCCCTTGTGGTCCCCCCCTGGGTGCTGGGACGTGCAAAAGAACCTCCTCCTGGTGCATCTCCATGTCAAACCGTCTCCCTGCTGTCGCCCGTTGTGCTTGTCAGGGACGTCCATGATAGTAGACTTGTCCATGGGTCAGTCATGCAACTTCCCCATGCACATTTCCAGAGCAAGAGGCGGCCAGTTTTGCCTAATTTCCCTTTATAGAAATGATTGAAACAGCTTCAAAAATCACAACTTCGACCCGGCCCCAATCTCAGACCTCCAAAGCTTTCATTTTGGTGAGCTGTGACGGTGTCAACAACTATGATCCCTGGGCAGCCCTCCAAACTGCAGTGGGCCGACTAACATGGACATTGAGGAGCCCCAATTTGTGAGAATAGCCTTGCTTGCATTTAAGGAATCTCCTGTTAACGGCTCTCCTTTTGGTTTGTCCTTATTTGTCCCCTCGTTCGGGAATTTTGTGTGAGGGTTCTGTCCAACCTGTCAAACAGTTTCCCTGTGGTTGCTCGCTGTGTGCTTGCCAGGGACGTCCATGTTAGTGGCCTTTGCATCAGTCTGCTGGCCGTGATTGAAGCAAATTCCCCAAACAAGAGGCTGCCAGTTGATGCAACTTCTTTATTCAAACAGCAATAAGTCCCAACTTCAACCCGGGCCCAATCCAATACCTCCATGGGCAGCCCTCCAAACTGCATTGGGCCGACTAACATGGACATTGAGGAGCCCCAATTTGTGAGAATAGTCTTGCTTGCATTTAAGGAATTTCCTGTTAAAGGCTCTCCTTTTGGTTTGTCCTTAGTTGTCCCCTTGTGGTCCCCCCCCCTGCGCGCTGTGAATTTCCTTTTGGTGGGATCCCCATGTCAAACCGTCTCCCTGCTGTCGTCCGTTGTACTTGTCAGGGAAGACTTGTCCATGGGTTTGGTCATGCAACTTCCCCATGCACATTTCCAAAGCAAGAGGCTGCCAGTTTTGACTAATTTCCTTGTATAGAAATGGTTGAAACAGCTTCAAAAGGTCACAGCTTCGACCCGGACCCAATCTCGGATCTCCAAAGCGTTCATTTCGGTGAGCTGTGACGGTGTCAACAACTATGATCCCTGGGCAGCCCTCCAAACTGCAGTGGGCCGACTAACATGGACGTTGAGGGGATGTTAGTGGCCTTTGCATCAGTCTGTCGGCCTGACTGCTGCACATTTCCTGAACAAGAGGCAGCAAAAAGTCCCAACTTCAACCCGGGCCCAATCCAAGACCTCCATGGGCAGCCCTCCAAACTGCAGTGGGCCGACTAACATGGACACTGAGGAGCCCCAATTTGTGAGAATAGCCTTGCTTGCATTTAAGGAATCTCCTGTTAACGGCTCTCCTTTTGGTTTGTCCTTATTTGTCCCCTTGTTCGGGAATTTTGTGTGAGGGTTCTGTCCAACCTGTCAAACAGTTTCCCTGTGGTTGCTCGCTGTGTGCTTGCCAGGGACGTCCATGTTAGTGGCCTTTGCATCAGTCTGTCGGCCGTGATTGAAGCAAATTCCCCAAACAAGAGGCTGCCAGTTGATGCAACTTCTTTATTCAAACAGCAATAAGTCCCAACTTCAACCCGGGCCCAATCCAATACCTCCATGGGCAGCCCTCCAAACTGCATTGGGCCGACTAACATGGACATTGAGGAGCCCCAATTTGTGAGAATAGTCTTGCTTGCATTTAAGGAATTTCCTGTTAAAGGCTCTCCTTTTGGTTTGTCCTTAGTTGTCCCCTTGTGGTCCCCCCCCTGCGCGCTGTGAATTTCCTTTTGGCGGGGTCCCCATGTCAAACCGTCTCCCTGCTGTCGTCCGTTGTACTTGTCAGGGAAGACTTGTCCATGGGTTTGGTCATGCAACTTCCCCATGCACATTTCCAAAGCAAGAGGCTGCCAGTCTTGACTAATTTCCTTGTATAGAAATGGTTGAAACAGCTTCAAAAGGTCACAGCTTCGACCCGGACCCAATCTCGGATCTCCAAAGCGTTCATTTCGGTGAGCTGTGACGGTGTCAACAACAATGATCCCTGGGCAGCCCTCCAAACTGCAGTGGGCCGACGAACATGGACGTTGAGGGGAGCAATGTGTGAGAATAGCCTGGATCACATTCGGGAATTTTGTGTGAGGGTTCTGTCCAACCTGTCAAACAGTTTCCCTGTGGTTGCTCGCTGTGCTTGCCAGGTGAGTGGCCTTTGCATCCGTCTGTCGGCCATGATTGCTGCAAATTCCCCAAACAAGAGGCTGCCAGTTGGTGCAATTGCTCCAGTCAAACAGCAAAAAGTCCCAACTTCAACCCGGGCCCAATCCAAGACCTCCATGGGCAAACATGGACATTGAGGAGCCCCAAGTTGTGAGAATAGTCTTGCTTGCATCTAAAAAATCTCCTGTTAAAGGTCTTCTTTTCATTTGTCCTTATTTGTCCCCTTGTGGTCCCCCCCTGGGTGCTGCGACGTGCAAAAGAACCTCCTCCTGGTGCATCTCCATGTCAAACCGTCTCCCTGCTGTCGCCCGTTGTGCTTGTCAGGGACGTCCATGATAGTAGACTTGTCCATGGGTCAGTCATGCAACTTCCCCATGCACATTTCCAAGGCAAGAGGCAGCCAGTTTTGCCTAATTTCCCTTATAGAAATGGTTAAAACAGCTTCAAAAATCACAACTTCGACCCGGCCCCAATCTCAGACCTCCAAAGCTTTCATTTTGGTGAGCTGTGACGGTGTCAACAACTATGATCCCTGGTGGGCCGACTGACATGGACATTGAGGAGCCCCAATTTGTGAGAATAGTCTTGCTTGCATCTAAAAAATCTCCTGTTAAAGGTCTCCTTTTCATTTGTCCTTATTTGTCCCCTTGTGGTCCCCCCCTGGGTGCTGGGACGTGCAAAAGAACCTCCTCCTGGTGCATCTCCATGTCAAACCGTCTCCCTGCTGTCGCCCGTTGTGCTTGTCAGGGACGTCCATGATAGTAGACTTGTCCATGGGTCAGTCACGCAACTTCCCCATGCACATTTCCAGAGCAAGAGGCGGCCAGTTTTGCCTAATTTCCCTTTATAGAAATGGTGAAAACAGCTTCAAAAAGTCACAACCTCAGCTCGGACCCAACCTCAGACCTCCAAAGCTTTTATTTTGGTGAGCTGCGGTGGTTTTAGCAAAAGAAAGGTGCACGACAGGTTTCTGGAACCGGCGTTTTCTGATGGCAATCATATCTCGCAATGTTTTGCTAACATGGACGCTCCCAGGATTTGGGGGTACAGGCTATCTCTCTCTTGGGGCATTCCCCGGGAACTTACCAAAGTATGAAAATTTGCCGTGTCCATGTTAGTGCACAAAATTTAGCTACTTTTTGGAGGACCACGTCCTTGTTAGCTAAATTTTGATGGTTTTTACCAGATGCACGTCCATGTTAGTGGTACGTTTTTTCGGCCTCCACGTCCATGTTATTTATATCTGCTTTCCTGTGGTTTTGATTTCTTTAATACATTGTATATTGTATACTGTATCTCTTCCTCCCACATCGCTGTGTCAGCAGGGAACGCAAAGCTCACTTCTGAGGGTCCTTGCGCTCGTGGGTTGAACCGTTCCACCTTTCCGGTATGCATTTTCGGATGCTTATATGACAATTATGATAGCAAATATGACAACCATGTAAAAAGTGGTCATATGCTGGGTGGGTCAAAGAAGGGTCGAAAAAAACATAAAAAAAAACTAAGTAGGACCACACATGCTATTTCTCCGATGAAAAACAACAGAAAATTGTTGATTTCAGGTACAGTATCACTTCCGTCAGCGCCCATCCTCGGGGTCCCAGGCAAGCGCATTGAATGAGCAGCCATCCGAACCACCTGCAGCACCAGTAGCCATGGAATTTTAAAAAACCAGAGAAACAGAGCAAGAACACGAATATACAAAATGAATCAAAATAATGACTTCATGTGTTTGTCTCCTAGCTGTGATGTGAAATGAAGCGAGAATATGACCAACTGGCTGGCGTAACTTTTTCCTAGGAAGAATTGCGTTGGACTGATGCAATAGGGTCTGTACAACATTGTACAACCGCTGCATCTTTGACTGAACAAACAGTGAACTGAACAGTTTGTAGTCGCAACATGTCGCAACGCTCTTCGATCTGCAGACCATTCGGGAGGCTGGTGACACTCTCATCTTGTGCCTTCTCCACTGCGTAGCGAAAGCTCTGTCGCTCAAAGGCACAGGAAAAACTGGCCAATGCAAGATCTGCAATGCCGGACACGGGACAGAGCCTAAACTTGGCAATGAAGAAGTATGGAAAATGAATGAAAATGACAAACAAGTATAGATAAGTCTTACACTTGCTGTTTTGAGGAGAGGATCTTTTTGTCAAAAACAAACATGAGCTGAGTTATCTGAAGACCGAGTCTACAACTGCATGCAATGAATTGCACAAAGCCTCCCAGTCCCAGTCTGAACAAGCACCAAACTCAGCCCTTCATTCATGGAGTATCATGGAGTCATATATGCAAAATTATGCAAACATATCATATATGAGGACCTACATATCATACATCCTGAATATTCCTGAATTTGTATATACGTATGTAAAATACGTGTACAAAATCCGTGTATATGTATATGCAAATATAAGCATGCACAGCTTGTAGTACAGATCCTGTAGAATACACCATATTGAGACATTTTGATACATTTTGTCTATGTGTCTGTGGACTGCACGTACTGACACATACAAGTACTGTAACATGTCATACATTCATCCATTCTCCCCCGAATCTTCTGTACTGCACCCTTTGAAATTCTGACCGACAGGTAGCTTCAACTGAACTGAGGAATCTTGTTGCTGAGAGCTGCTCTCCAGCGCGGTCAAAAAGTGTTGAAGCTGTCGACAATATCGACAAGTGAATCGACAAGTGAATCGACAAGTCTGCCTCTGATTGCGCCAGAAACTCATTAGCCTTCTGCCACTCACGCGATGGGTGTGCATTTAGGAGAGTACTCAAAGTGGCTGTGTTGATACAAATACGAAAGAACTGCAGTGCCAGCAGCACTTGTTGCGCTTGTTGCCACTGCACAGCTTTCGCGCACGCACTGATGCTAGCATTGTAGGCAATCACATCAGCTTGCAGTTTCTTGTTCCGGAAGTTCGTCAGAACTGAGAGAGCTTGTCTCCACTCTCCAACAGCATCACAGGCTTTAATTGCTGCACTGCAAGCAATGACGTCTTCCTCTATCCTCCTGAAATGCAACTCTTCAAGGATTGCTTGAGCGATGGGCCAATTTCCGGACGTGCATGCCCCAACTATGGAAGTATAAGGCACCACTTCTACCTGATGATTGCACGCCTTTGAATTTTGGAGAAGGTTCTGTGCGCGTGCCCATGTGGCTCTTCCACAGGCACTCATTACAGAATTGAAGAGTCCGCTCAATGACCGCTGTCCAGTCTGCTCACTCTGCTCACTCCACTCATGCCGTGTTTTTTGTAATAGGACAAGCGTAAGCTGCCACTCTGAAGTTTCGGTCATAGCATTGAGCAAAAGCAGATCCGCTTGCAGATGGACTTGCTGAAGCTGGTCAAGCAATTTCCAACACGCTTGCCACGTTTCTCCTGGCCTTCTAACAGAGGCACGTATGACCGTATTAAATGAGATAATATCAGCCTGTATGCCAAGGCTTCCAAGACTTCCCACACTTTGGGTTGCGAGTTGCCACTGCTGAGCCTTTTCACATGCGCTCGCTGCCGTGTTGAAAGAAACAGCTTCTCTTTGCACTTTGGCTCTAGATATATCGTTCAGCAGGATTTGCGAGACACGCCAAAGCGCAGATTTGTTGAAGGAACTCATGGCTGCGTTGTAAACGATGATGTCAGGTTGAGCGCAGCAATCTAGCTGCAGTAATGACAATGCTGCTTGCCATTGTGTTGTCTTTTCACTGTTCATTAATATTGTGTAAGTGACCTCATCTGGCTGCACAGAATCTGACTGGCAATTTTGCAGCAAGGACCTAGCACCCTGCCACTTGGAAGCTGAAGCAAACGATGCCATAACGCAATTGCACAGAACCATGCAATTCTTAGAATTCTGGATTGTATTTGATTTATTTGATTTATTTGCTTCAACTCTGCTCCACCAAAACCAGGCCAAAAGTGCGCTGGCCTGCTTCCATTTGCTTGCCTTTTGGAGGGCTCCAAGGGCAGAACCGACCACGACGATGTTGGGAACAGGTCGAACAGGGCGAAGCAAGGGAGTCGTGGGAGTGCTCGATTGTGTGCTACTTGCAGTGCTAAGAGTGCTATGTTGAGTTGCTCTCACGGCTCTCACCATGTTTTGCTGTCCTGAAAGGTCCCACAACAACTTCAAGCACCATTGCCACTGCAAAGATCTTCCACAAGCTGTTATTGCCATACTATAGACCACTTCCAATGCAACATCTGCTGGCACTTCCTGCAAGCACTGCAAAGCCTGTTGCCACTCGCCTCGTCTGCCTATCTGTTGAAGCCTTGACAACCAAACGCCTGAAAGCTCTGCACCGGCAATAATATTGCTCTGCGTGAGCATGGTGTGGAGTAGAGCTTCCGAATTGGCGGAAAAAGCCGAAGAGAATCGAAGAGAAGTGTAGATCGGTTCGAGGGGACACGGGACTCTTTGGCCTACAAATGCACTTCCAGCCAAAGCCAAATCAAGTGTCACTCTGCATTCTCGCATCCTAAGTGCCACACGTACCTATTCTTGCCGTCTGTTGAGAAATTTTGGCAGCTACCCAGTAGCTGTTGTTGGCCTACAGTAGAATCTTTGTCTAAGTCTACATTCGAACCAGAACCAAATCGACAAACAGCGAAACACCCGGCACACTTTCCATAGAAGGATATAGAAGGATATAGAAGATTGTAGAAGCTATGTAGTACCACAGGGATGCGCACACCCTTCTCTCGCTTTTTGATTTGCATTGCTTGGCACTGCTTTGTGTTTGGTGCTCCGGCATCTTGCTTTGTAATCCAAAGCGCCGGGAAACGCGTGCATGGGAGACGCGCCAACGGGAGTGTGTTCTGGGCTTTCACCCAAAATCTTTCCCAAAAAGAGCCCCTTGGGGGCAGTATTTCGATGTGATGTGATGAAAATTGCAGAAAACCGACATTCATCTACATTCATCTACATTCTATCTTTCCTGAGCGTGACAAGAACAAAGGGACATAGCAGGATAGTATCGGATAGGATGGATAGGTAGCTCATGGTAGCTTTGAGACAATATGAGACAATCTTTGGTTCTCCAAGTCACAGGGCCTGCAATCCTCATCACTGATGCTTTGAGTGGGACTCAAGGTGGGACTCAAGGTCTCTTCCAGGAGTCTTCCAGGAGTCTTCCAGGAGTCTTCCAGGAGTCTTCCAGGAGTCTTCCAGTCTTCGTCTTCCTCAAATGCCAGCCATTCTCATTATTAGTTTCACTGGTGGCACGCTGCCCACGTATCTTGAACGTCCTCATTTGCCCGTCCAGGAGTAAAGGATGCTATCCAATTCACCACGGTTCTCAAAGGTACATTTTTCCTCGGCGGCAATTGGACGCTTTTCTTCCATTGTCCAACCCTCACTGCGACACGCAGTCTACGTCGTGCATAGGATCAATGCTGCCATATGTTGCCATATGTTGCCACTTGGCAGTGTTCAGGGGCCAAAGCACAGGGATGTTTAATACTTGATATGAATTGTGATCCTTTAGAGCTCTGACTGAAGAGGTGACTGCAAACATCTCACCTGACTTGCATAAAGTATATTCCGATGCAAATAACGACACTTTCAACATTCCTAAGTGAAACTTTGTGAATTGAATACCAACCTTGGAAATACATGGAAATACTGTATACTGCATATAACTTCTTGGTCTTAGACATACTGATCAAATACTGCTTGGGTTCGTATATTGGTAGTGAACTGGGGATATTGCAAGCTAGCCCAAGTCCACAGTTTCCAATTTACTTTGAACCTTTGTGTGTTTCACTGCTTCACCTTGGCTTGCCAAAGTGTCGTCTTTGCCACCTTTTTTAGTAGCAATTTGAAGCGATCAAAGCACAAGCCTCTTTTGCTTCTGCACTCCTTAAACCTTGGTGATTCAGATCCACAAACTGGCATTTGCTCTTCGAACAAACTCTTGAAAGAGATACAGTATATAAAGATATATAAAGTACGAGTATATAGTAGATTGTGTCAGATTCTGGGTCAAGATCATGCTAGAACGAAGTATTCCTGAGATTTGCTCAGTACTTTTCGTATCCGTTTGGCTTTGCAGCGTAGTCAATTACTGTCGAGGCCACTCCCCACATGATGGCTCAACAACATGAGATTCCTAGTACGTTAATACAAAGGAAGAAATGGCTACGCGCAAAGCAGAGTTCCTGAAATTTACAACTTGAAGATACTTGAAGTATGAAATTGATCAAAACACCACCTAAATGCAACGACCAAGTCTTAAGTAACTCAGATGTGAAGTTTTCAACCGACATGCCAAACACCACCTCAACGCAGGATTTGTAAAGAATCATAAATCCAAACATGAAAACCAGAAAATCATGCATTTCCTATGCAATTTACAAAAAGGCACGAGTTTTGAAAATCAAGTGCTCTCAAGCTATTTTCAACGATTCCCACTAATCTGGGCACGACTTTAGCAACTCTCTGTATATGCTCTTCCGCTGCCATGAGATGCTCATGCCATGTGCCCATCTTCCTTTCCATGTGACAGTGCTGCAGCTTCTGTAATCCCGAAGCCGGTATCATCCAAGATGTCGAGTTGACCTTTGCATGATTCCACAGGCAAAACTGACCACGGAAACATGAGTTCTTTCTATGAATCCTTTGGCGTTTCCAGACAGATGGTTAAATTTTGTTTGAATTGTTGCTGTAGAAGGGAGCAAAACAGACCAAGCAAACATATGTAAATGTAAATACCAATCGACTAAATAAGAGGCTCACTTTGCACACATCTTTCGTACAGCTGAATCAGTGCTTACTTATCTTACTTTGAAAAGGTTACGAGGCAAGTCCAGAAGACGCACGACTCTTAGAACCATCAGTGTCAAACCGACCTGACAACTTTGTTTCAAGGGTGCTGAGTCTTTGCCCGTGTGAAACACATCAGAGTGCGACAGAGCCATGAAATTGTGAAAAAGACATGCCACGGCAATGCCACGACAAATAATCCATGAATAGCAATGAATAGCCATGCATAGCCATGAATAGCAATGATAACTTGATCTGACAATACTCAAAAGTGTTGAGTGAGCGTTGTATAGCGTTGTGATATGATATCTTGTAATAATTTGCCAAGGCACGGCAGAGTGCCAGAAACTCATGGTATGTGATGTGAGGCCGCCCAGCCGCATCTGCAATAGTGTGGAAAACGTTTGAAGTACCTTCCCAATCAATCTTTGCACCGTCCTGCATCTGCATATCACACATCTCGACATATCTCAACATTCTCAACCAGTGATGTGTTGTGTTCTTATTTCCAGAGGGCCAGGAACTCAGTTCTGTGGAATATAGTCAAACGGCAAATAGCATACTGTGCATCTACAGAATTTGGCCAATGTTGCGTCAAAGAAACTGCAACAAAACATTCAAGTTTGATCAAGTTTTCATGTTTGCAGTATCAAATATTATATGATATTATTCATGGTATTTCATGGTTATGTATTATTAATATGTTTTTTTCTTGTATGAGTACGGTGCAGGGAACATCGAGGCAGTAGTGGCAGCGTATTGGACCATATTGAATGCGCTCTGCCCGGAGCTGTCCTTCGAGTACACACCAAACAAATAGTCCACAAACTCATCGAAGTCAATTCCCTGTCCAGGTGAAGCTCCGGGGCAAATGTCAAACAATGTCAAACACATACGCCAATACTGTCGCCATTCGAAACTTGTCAGAGCCATCAGAACCAGGCCGTTGATATCAGTTGATCAGTTCTTTGGCGAATTTGAAATTCAGAGAGCTCTTCTAATCCTATCTCAAAAGCTTTGCTAGACTTCTGAAGCATGACTGCAGGGGCATGTAGCGCTTTACCTGAGGCCAACTTTGCATGTAACATATTGCAACATTGTATCGCAATGTATCGTTCCTATTGGCTCTGAATGGAACTGGTATGTATAGTGCATTCATGTGCATTCTATCCATGCTATCCGCCGCCCGCATTTGTCATGCCACGTCTGCTGGGTGGCACGCATTGCACATCGTCACACTGTGTGGTCCAGTATTTTCCGTGAGGACTGTTGCGTTGCGTCCTATGAGGAGCTCCCTATATGAGCAATGATGCGGTCGCTGTGCCCGCTGTGCTCGCCGTGCCCGTGCCGCCTCATCACCGTCATGGTTCATGTCATCCCACAGAACTTCAAGCTCCGCATCTGACAGGTCCTCGCGACCCTTCCGAAGCAACACGGACATTTCATCCTCGGAAAGACTCAGAACATTGATAGACCTCAATAGAACCTGTGCAACCTTGCTCTTCATCAACTTTCCTGTAAACAAGTAAACAAGTACATGATAGTACATGTGTGTACAGTATATGAAATCTAGAATGATTATCGAATGTAACCCCTGAACTGGAGGACTGGGACACTGGGAGACTGAGCTAAATGCTCGACTGAGGATTCCATCGCCATTCCTGAGCTGCTGTAAACTCTGTTTCGCATCGCGACAGTTGTCAAGGTGACAGGCTTGGGTACAGCATATGTGTACCCTCTCGCATGTGGCTGGATGCTTCCTACAAGTCTCCCTGAGATTACTTGGCAGGGCAAAAAAAGAATTAAAAGAGTATTCAACAGTTATATATATATATATATTATATAAATCTATCTAAAGTATTATAAAGTATTATAAAGTATTACAAGTGTAAAGTCAAGAGTCGTGTCCAGCATCATAAACTTGTGCTTGATATCAGAAATGGTGTATGCGCCGAGGATGGGGCCTGCACTGAACTGTAAGCAGCAAACATTAGCAAACTTCAAAACTACTTGCATGCTGATGACTGATGACATCACCTGATGTTGCCTAGGATTCACCGCACCCAAGCCAATGCAAACCATTCACAGTTTTGTGAAGGGCCTGGCTTCATTGACTGGATGACGCACGAGTCACCGCCGGAAAGACCTTGGCTCTTCTGCCCAGAGTCTGAGTCTCCTCCACTTTTCTTCTTATCTCCTGAGGAGTCACCACGAAAATTTCACAACAAGCACCGAGAAGGCTCTCACCTTGAAATGCGAGCACTAAAAAAGCACAAAGTGCTTGGTAAAAAGAATAAGTTCCCCTGACATCTGAGAGCATCGGAACAGTTGAAGAGTTGAAGAGTTTGCTATAATGTGCTCTGAGTTTGCTCATCCTGTCTATTCATGTTTATTTAAATGTTTATTTATGGTTTTTATTATGTTTTTATTTATGTTTGCTTTTTCAAAGTGTCTGCGCTTCCTACAGCTCCAGCCAAGATTCGTACAAATGAGACATCTGCTGGGAGCACAGGGCCAGACTTGCGACGTTTGGGGGCCATAGCGTGATTTCACCGCATCACAGGCACATCTGGATTGCATAATGATACATCTTGAATCATCTTGATGTTGCTGATGCTCTTTTTACATTCCCCGAACTTTGAGAACTCGAGGTTCTCAATCAACAAGCGCCGCCCCAAAATATTCTAAGAAAAGGATCCGCAAAAGAGATTCTGATATCACTGGAGAAGTCTGCCCAGTCAAGACTCCAACACTGCTGTCTAGCTTTAAAGAAATGATTAATTATATGTGATAAATTCTATTGATGGATATTATGATACTATATGTTACTATGGATGTTAATGGGGTATTGTCACCCATTGCAAACAATTGTGGTGGATTGCGCTGTAGCACCGTTTATGATCTTGATCAGCCCGACATGCAGCACGTGATATTCAAGAGCCCGGTTTGCCCCGAACGGGGTGGGCCTGTGTTAGATTGTTGTCTGTACACGTGCCGATACAACGTGTGTCAACGACTGTGCGGCTCTGATTGTACCACATGATACAACCTTGCTGGTTGGATGTTTCTTGATCTTCTTGCTGGGTTGTATAATTTCAATTTCCGGTATTGACATGTCTGGGAAGTTGACAACCCCCTCCAAACACAGCACACCATAGCACATCTTAGCATACATACATTAGCCATCCTGATGCCGTTCTGGAAGCACGCCTTCCTTTTTTTCACTCAACGACATGAACCAGTCAATTGCAGGCTAACTTTGGCCACAGCTTTCCGAAGACCAGTTCACCTGGTGGGCACAGCAAATGCAAATACTTCAGTATCTTCAGTTATCAGTTTGGGTTTCAAATGGTTTCAATATGTTCAATTCCTTGGCTTTCCCCGTATGCTTTGCAACTTGTGCAACTTGTGCAACTTGTGCAACTTGTGCAACTTGTGCACTTTATGATCTTTATGCAATCTTCAGTCCCCGTGAGGCGATGGCTATGACGGCTATGATACCAATACCTTCAGCATCCTTCAGCATCCTTGACTCACTCCTTGACTCACGGGCAGTTCTCGCCTTTGTCCATCAGAGAGCATCCGCTCACAAAAGCCTTCCTGAGTCGATGCACTGTGGAGTCAGGTCACACGCACTCAAACGATTAGAGTTCAATAGCCAGCCATGTCTGATATTCCTCTAATATTTCATCTTTCCTTGATATACTTCTTCCATGTTCTTCAATTTTCCTCTGTTCTCTGTGAGTCTTAGTCGCAATTTAGTCACCTCTAAACGCCTCTTGACACTGATGCAAACATGTGAGCCAAGTATCCAGTAGCATCACAAAGGGAGGAACTTCAGAGCTCTTCTCCCTTTGCACCGAAAAATGCACCATGCATGACGAGTGAAAAGATCCGAACGATTCCGAAAGAGAAATTGTACGAAATGACACAAGTGACACATAGTGACACAAGAGAATTCCTTGACCCGTTCTCCACATGAATGAGGCACCTTGTGATTCCCTGCACTGTTTCAGTTGTTGGGAGAACAGAGACGTGTGAAGTACAACGCAAGGAGCAATGCAAAGGCCTTGAGGCAATTGAATACTGGCTATTTGAAATGCGCTGTGCCTGCATTCAGAATTGTCTGAAATTGCAGTTCTTGGCAAGACCAAAGTATTGCTTGATGTGCTGATGCCTACATTCCAAATGCATCCAAATGCATGATACAACAAGATGATGCAACAAGATGCAACAAGATTATACCAGATGATACGAGTATCTCCAAGTGAGCCTGGATTGATGGCTTAGGTGGCCTCATCCTCAGCTAAGGTTTCTTTCTACTTCAAAAAGAAAAACTCCACCAGGGAAAGCGATGCAACATGAAAAATATGAAAAACATATGCAACAGCAATCAACAGCATCTTTTTCGCTTTATTCGTCAGTGTTGCTGGCTAGTAGTGTAGGTTTCATGTAACACGCAACCATTGTAAGGCACCGCCAGAAGACGGTACGATTTGTTTCAAACACGAAGTCCACGAAGCAGTTTGAATCATGAAATGCCTTTTCTGCATGCAATGCATTGTTTGATGATGTTCATCAGAAGCACAAACAGATCAAACAGATCAAACAGAATACAAATAGTACTTGCGCAATCTTACGAAATTGAGAAAACCAGCACCATCTGCTTGATGCAAGGCACGGCGGCAAGCTTTCGCCCAAGCCGCTGACCTTGCGGCAAGATGCGGCAAGTTTTCTTAGATCTGTCAGATTTGTTGGATCTCTATGGATCTCCTCCGAACATATCAACCTTCGAACATCTTCGAACCTTCCTCTTTGACGTCCATGCTCATAAGTTGGTAGCGTCCAAAAGGAAAAAAATAATAATAATATATATATATACGTATATATATCAGATCATTTCAGTTTTATAAAAAGGCCCACACATTTTTTCTAAGTACCACATTGATTCCCACAAAACAAAATACACTTGTGTCACAAATGGATCCAAATGGTATGCTGGAAATCTATTGGACAATTTGTTGGAAAATCTGTTGGGATTTGTCGATCTTTGCATACCCACCTTCACGGAGGCTGCAGAGCCCTGTCCAAGGTCGCCAAATGTCGCAAGTGAATTGTTGTGAGCTATGCGACATATTGCGACATATTGCGACATGATACGGCATTGCCATGCAGAAAACAAAAACATCACGCCGCCGCCACGAATCGATACCAATCATCTGCATCCGCTTCGGTGAAGGTGTGCAAAGGTTCGTTGATTTTGTTTTAGCGGCTTAGCCATGCTTAGCCGATAGATTTATTCATCTGTTAGAGATTCGAATCATTCGAAATAAATCGATGGCCGATGGACATATTGATCAGCAACTGCACCTCTCCGGGATCCGAACCGAGCTGTGGCCTTTGGAAGCCGGCGACAGTCGAGACCACATCAAACCATCAAACCACACGAGACCATTGACCAATCCACCTGATTCATTCTGATTCTAAGACATTCTGATATTATCTGATATTCTAGTATTTCTATGTAATTCTTTCTCAGTGGCATACGGATCAAGAATGATGGAACCAGTCCAAGTGATTCCAAGTGTGCTGCATCCCTCTATGAGCCCAAGCTGTACTTTATGCGAGTTGTACAGAGGTTGGCTGTGGAGTCTGTGGAGCCGCTTCAAATTTTGAGATTGACACTTGGATGGATAGGCACCATGAACTTGACCAAAAGGCGGCCTGTTGGTTTCAATGGTTTGACCGGCTTGACCATGAGTCTGGTATGTCGTCCAAGGCGGAAGGCTTGGGGGACGCATCAAAACAAAGGGGTCAATGACAAGCAATGACAAGCAATGACAAGCTACCTCAATTGAGGCTGTGTTGCACATCAACATCATCAACCCGGTGTATACGTAGGTTCAAAGCGTATCACTAAGGCTTCCAATGTTTGACATGTTCGATGTCATTGCGTCTACATGGGAAAAAATGAAAGCAAAACATGCTGATCATCTTTGAGCAGAATTGGCGTCGATGCTGGCCTGAAGCACACAGGTGGCATCCTCAGTATGTAGATGTATTTAGTATGCAATGTATGTCAAGACAATTGATCTGCAGGACCAATCGCGGTACACTCAGTGCACTCCCCATAGATACAGGCTGCGCTATCATGAAGGGAAGACCAAGCTCACCCAAAGTCACACTTTCCTGTTGCTCCGCATATCACTATGCATCACTACGCATAAGCGCGTGATACCTGTGTTCCACACAATTACTTGCTGTTTCACATGCGTGTTGGGTTTGCTTAGTTGAGCATGAACCTCGCCTATAATGCCGAAGAATGTGTATTTTCGGTTTGAAACGATGCTGCAATTCGTAAGCTGCTTAGCCTGTCTTGAGTTCTCTGCAAAGGTCTGTTTTACTGGAAAGAGATGTCACAAAGTCAATGCCACTTTTTCCCCATACACCGATCTTGCACTTGCATACACCCCTTTGTTGCTTCTTGCACAAACATAGATGGAAAATGATGGAAACGGCACGCGACTTCGTGGCTTCCACGACATGGTCACTAAATGTCGCCAGTATTGATAGCACGACATCAACGAACGCTATGCCAGAGCGCATTCATTTGATTTTTTTGCTGTCTTGCTGTACTCTGTGTACATTGTGATATATATCCATTCGTATCCGATCTACTCACCACCTGATTGTAGAGCTTGACAGGACTGAAATCGTCTTTACTCAGGGCGTATTGAACAAATGAAGGATGGTTAAAGAGAGAAGAAATGGGAACGCCAAAGCAGCCAAGGCCTGTTTGACTTATGTAGAGAAAATACTTGTCTAATCTTGTCTATATGATACTATAAGAGTACTATAAACTATAACATACTATGTGAACATGTTGATATGATTTGTATGAACGAAGGTTTCCGATCACACACTGAATTTTGTGAACATGCGCAGGCTGGTGGAGATTGCATCAGTATTATACTGTAGTTGAACTTTGGATCTACGATTTTACCTGCGTACCCTTACCACGCAGGTCAAAAACTCAAAGAAACCAAATCCAGACTACTTGCAAATTGCAACCCCAGGCACACAGGTGACAGAATGCCCAATCTGGGTATGCGTTGGATTCATGAGCCGCGTTTTTTCAAACACCTTACCTGCACCAGTAGACAACACCTGTGAACCCAACTGTCCTGAGGTCAACACTGTCCAGCGTATGGCATAGTGGCCTCGAAAAATGGAAAATGGAATCAATAGAATCAATAGAACAGAAAATGCAATGACAACATCGGTGTCTATTCCACTGACAAACATGGTCAAATAATGTCAAATACGTCTCAACTTGTGACAGGATCTGAAAGGTGGCTGTTAGACAACTTAGGCAACTTGGACAACTTGGCCGAGAACCATCATCGGGGCTGGAGGCGAACTTTTCATCATCGCTGCCTAAACAGCGCGCAAGGCTGGGGCTCAGGATGTGACGCATGAGGCAACCGCAAACTAGATAAAAGAGATGAAAAGAGATGAAAAGAGATGAAAAGAGATGAAA